TTCTTCTGTTTCTTTCTTCACTGTCTTACAATTTTCTGAGTACAGGCCTTGTACATCCTTGGTTAAGTTTATTCCTAGGTATTTTATTCTTTTTGTAGCAATTGTGAATGGGATTGTTTTCTTCATTTCCCTTTCGGTTAGTTTGTTATTGTATTAAAAAGTAAATGATTTCTGGATATTCATTTTGTATCTTGCGATTTTGCTGAATTCATTATCAGCTCTAATAGTTTCTTGGTGGAATCTTTTGGGTTCTCTATCTACACATTATGTCATCTGCAAATAAAGACAGTTTTACTTCTTCCTTTCCAATTTGGATGCCTTTTATTTCTTCCTCTTGCCTGACTGCTGTGGCTAGGACTTCCAGTGCTATTTGAATAAGAGGTGAAAGTAGACATCCCTGACTTGTTCCCGATCTTAAGGGGGACGCTTGTAGTTTTTGCCCATTGAGCATGATGCTGGAAGTGGGTTTGTCATATATGGCCTTTACTATGTTTAGGTGTGTTCCCTCTAGTCCCATTTTGCGATGAATTTTTATCATAAATGGGTACTGGATTTTGTCAAATGCTTTTTCTGCATATGTTGATATGATCATGTGTGTTCTATCCTTCATTTTGTTTATGTGGTGAATCATATTTATTTATTGATTTGCGGATGTTGTACCAACCTTGACTCCTGGAATAAATCCCACTTAATCATGGTATGTGACCTTTTGATGCTTTCCCAAATTTAGTTGGCTAATATTTTGTTGAGGATTTAGCATCTATGTACATCAGAGATATTGGCCTATAATTTTTCTTTATTTTTAGTGTTTTTATCTGGTTTTGGAATTAAAATAATGCTGGCTTCATAAAATTACTTGGGAGCCTTTCCTCATTTTCAATTTCATGAAATAGTTTGAGAAAGAGAGGTGATAGTTTTTCTCAGAATGTTTGGTAAAATTCGCCTGTGAAACCATCCAGTTCAGGGCTTTTGTTTGTTGGGAGTTTTTTGATTACTGCTTCAACTTCACTAGATATAATCTGTCTATTCAGATTCTCTGATTCTTCCTAATTTAGTTTTGGAAGACTGTATGTTTCTAGGAATTTACCCATTTTGTCCAGGTTGTCCAGTGTGGTGGCGTACAGTTGTTTGTAATATTTTCTTACAATCCTTTGTATTTCTTTGGTGTCAGTTGTTATTTCTCCTCTTTCATTTCTGATTTTATTTATCTGGGTCCTTTCTGTTTTTTCCTTGATTATTTTTGTTAAAGATTTGTTCATCTTGTTTGTCTTTTCAAAGAATGAGCTCCTGGATTCATTGATCTTTTGTATCATTTTTTTGGACTCTATTTCATTTATCTCTGTTCTGATCTGTCTTACTTCCTTCCTTATACTTACTTGGGGTTTTGTTTGTTGTTCATTTTCAAGTGCCTGGAATTGTGAAGTTAGATTGTTTATTTGAGCTTTTTCTTGTTTCTTCAAGATAGGCCTGTAAAGCTTTTCCCTGTATCCCATGGATTTTGGATTGTTATGTCCTTGTTTTCATTTGTTTCAAGGTATCTTTTGATTTCTTCCTTGATCTCCTTGTTGACCCATTCCTTGTTTAAAAACATGTTACTTAGTTTCCATGTCTTTGCATGTTTCTCGGTGTTCTTCTTGTGATTAGTTTCTAGTTTCATAGCATTGTGGTCAGAGAAGATACTTGATATGATTTCAATTTTCTTAAATTTATTTAGACTTGTGTCTAATATGTGGTCTATTCTAGAAAACATTCCATGTACATTTGAAAAGTATGTATATTCTGCTGCTTTGGGGTGAAATACTCTGAAGATAGTAATTAAATCAATTAATCTAGTGTGTCATTTAAGGCAACTGTCTCCTTGTTGATTTTCTTCCTGGAAGATCTATCCATTTTGTCAATGGGGCATTAAAATCCCCAACTATCACTATATTTCTGTCAATCTCTCCTTTATGTCCATCAAGATTTTCTTCACATAGGTGTTCCTACGTTAGGTGCATAAATGTTTACTAGGTTTATACCCTCTTTTTGGATTGTTCCTTTTATCCTTATGGAGTGTCCGTCTTTGTCACTTACCATAGCCTTGGATTTAATGTTTATTTTGTAGTATTCCATTGTGTAAATGTACCATAATTTTTTGATCCAATCATCTACTGCTGGGCATGTAGGTTGTTTCCAACACTTGGCTATTGTAAATTGTGCTGCTATGAACATTGGGGTGCATAGGTTCTTTTGTATTGGCATTTTGGGATTATTAGGGTATAGTCCCATGGAATACTATGCAGCAGAAAGAAAAGAAACTACTAAACTTCACGACAGCATGGATGGAACTCGAGAGCATTATGCTAAGCGAAATAAGCCAGGGGGCTAAAGACAAATACTATATGATCTCACCTGTAAGTGGAACCTAACCAACAATACAAAGATGCAAGGAAAATAAAACCAGCAACACTGAAAGGAAAAGAAACCAACAGAGACAAGAGGGAAGGAGGGGGGGGGATGGGGGAAAAGGAAGGGAAGGGGAAAATCAAGGAACATATAGCAAGGACTCATGGACAAAACCGAAGGGGAAGAGTTGAGGGAGGGAGGGGGCAAAGGAAAGTGGATGGGGGGTAGGCAGAGACAAATGTATTTGAAAAAAATAAATTAATTTTTTTAAAAAGTCTATTTTGTCAGCTATAAGTACAGATACTCCAGCTTTTTTTCTTTTCTATTTGCATGAAATGTCTTTTTCCATCCCTTTACTTTTAGCCTGTGTGTATCTTTCGTTCTGAGGTGGATCTCTTGGAGGCAGCATATAAATAGGTCTTGTTTTCTTATCCATTCAGCTGCCTTATGTGTTTTGGTTGTACCATTTAATCCATTTACATTTAAGATGATTATTGATAAATATATTTAGTGTCATTTTATTGTGAGACTATTTTCCTCTGTTTTTTTTTTTCCCCTCTATTTTTTTCTTGTTCTTCTTAAAGCAAACCCTTTAACATGTGTTACAGTACTGGTTTGGTGTTAACAAACTCCTATATCTTTTTCTTGTCTGGGGAGCTCTTTGTTTCTTCTTCAGTTTTAAATGACAGCCTTTCTGGGTAAAGTAGCCTTGGTTGTAGGTCTTTGCTTTTCATCACCTTGAATATTCCAGGCAAATCCCTTCTGACCTGAAACATTTCTGTTGAGAAATCAAATGATAGTCTAATTGATGCTCCCTTGTATGTAACAACCAGCTTTTCTCTTGTGGCTTTTAGTATTCTCTCCTTGTATTTAAGCCATGTCATTTTAATCATGATGTGTCTCAGTGTGGGCCTTTTTGGGTCCAACTTGTTTGGGACTCTGAGCTTCCTGGACTTGTGTGTCTTTTTCCTTCACCAGATTAGAGAAGTTTTCAGTCATTATTTCTTCAAATAAGTTCTCAATACCTTGCTCACTCTCTTCTCCTTCTGGTATTCCTGTGGTGCAGATGCTGTGATGCTTCATGTTGTCCAAAATCTTCCTCAACCTCTCCTCATTTCTTAAAATTCTTTTTTCTTTTTGATGTTCTGCCTGGTTTGTTTTGTTGTTCTTTTTTTCTACCTTGTCTTCCAAATCATTTATTCAAGCCTCTGTTTCATCTAACCCACTGTTTATTCCATCCAGTGTACTATTTATTTCAGATATAACATTCTTTATTTCTGACTGGTCCTTTTTAATGGTTTCTATGTCTTCCTTTTTCCTGTTGTTGAGTATCCTTATAGTCACTACTCGAAACTATCTGATCATTGCCTGCTTCCATTTCATCTAGTTATTCTTCTGGAGGATTATTTTGGTTTTTTATGTGGGGTCTGTTTCTTTGCCTTCCCATTTTGTCTGCTGCTTTGTTTTTTCTGCCTTAGCTGGTAAACTAATCAGTGACCTAGCCTCAAGCTGTAATCAGCTGCCCTGCTTAAGCACCATAAGGTAGGGCAGAGTACCTCCTATAGGTGGGGCTATCGCTTCCCCTCTGGCTGATGTCACTTGGGAGGAGTGCTCTGCCTGAGAAAGATGGCTAGTGTAGTCTGGGGAATGATTTAGCACAGGGATCCTGGCAGCTGTTCCTTCAGTTCTCGCCCCAGAGCCACCAACCACAGTCTCTCTCTAGCATCTCTAGTACTCTGCCCTCATTTTTATGGAGCCCAGGGTAAGTGGCTGCAAATGGATTTTGTTTGTGTTGACCTTTTATGAGACTCTCTGCTCCAGCCATCTCTCCCTAGCAGGCAGAAACCCTACTGCTTTTCACAGGTGGATGTTATCTGGGTTCCTTTCTTGCTCTGGTGCTGCAGGTTGGGGAGCTAAGCCTGGGGTTTAGACCTCACACTTCTTGGAGATAACTCCCCAGCCACTGAAATATCATTCTTGAACATTAGCTGCGGCCTGTGGAAACCTAGCCAGGCCTCTTATGACTCCTGCACATTCCTTGCTAGTTTCGTTGTGGTGAAGTGGTTTCTTCTGTCTGTCCTTGGTTATAAGACTTTTCTCCAGCTAGCATTCAATTGGCTACTGAGAACGATTTCTTTACAACTTGGTTGTAATTCTGGATTGGTCCTGGGAGGAGGTTAGTGTAGCTTCTGCTTGCTCTTCTGTCATCTTGGATCTTTCTCCCAATTAAGTCTTATAATCCAAGTGTCATTCTACAAAACCAACTTACCCTTGGCCCAGGTCAAACAAGTAATGTTATAGAAATAATTATATTTATATCTTTTATGTGTTCAACACTAATATTTAAAATTCCCCCAAAATATCTAACAGGGCCAAATAAGGCTTTTGAAATTAAGAAAAAGTATTTGTCTCTTGACAAACTCTAGATTTTAAGTTTTGATTCACCATTGATTCTAGAGGTCAACTCTGATATCCAAAGTAGAATGATAATCTTTTTGTTCTAGAATTACATTTTCCTCTCTTCCCTAAGATTTAGATCTCTTGTTGAAAGAGACTGCCTTATAGACAAGGAAGATATGGAAAGTGGTAAAAATACGCCCATTAAAATCACTTCAGGGCTAGCTTTGGCAGCACATATACTAAAATTGGAATGATACAGAGAAGATTAACATGGCCCCTGTGCAAGGAAGACATGCAAATTCGTGAAGCGTTACATATTTTTAGCAAGAAGAAAAATAAAGTACCTAGGAATAACTTTAACCAAAGAGGTAAAAGACCTGTATGCAGAAAACTATACAACATTGAAGAAAGAAATTAAGGAAGACACAAATAAATGGAAGCATATACTGTGCTCATGGATTGGAAGAATTAATATCATCAAAATGTCCATACTACGCAAAGCAATTTATAGATTCAACTCAATCCTTATTAAGATACCAATGACATATTTCACAGAAATAGAACAGACATTTCAAAAATTTATATGGAACCACAAATGACCCCAAATAGCCGCAGCAATTTTGAGAAAGAGAAACAAAGTAGGAGGGATCACAATACCGGACATCAAACTCTACTACAAAGCCACTATACTCAAAACAATCTGGTACTGGCACAAGAACAGACCCATAGACCAGTGGAACAGAATAGAAAGCCCAGAAATAAGCCCAGGTCTCTATGGGCATCTAACATTTGACAAAGGGGGCAGAAGCATAAAATGGAGCAATAATAGCCTCTTCAACAAATGGTGTTGGGAGAGCTGGACGGCTACATGCAAAAAATTGAAATTGGATCATCAGCTGACACCATTCACAAAAATAAACTCAAGATGGATAAAAGACTTAAATATAATTTGCAACACCATCAAAGTCCTAGAGGAGAACATTGGCAGGAAACTCTCAGATATCCCACGCAGCAATTTTTTCACTGATATGTCTCCTAAAGCAAGGGACATAAAGGAAAGAATAAACAAGTGGGACCTCATCAAAATAAGAAGCTTCTGCACGGCAAAAGAAAACATCAGCAAAATGAAAAGGGAGCCAACCCTATGGGAAAATATATTCGCTAATGATACATCAGATAGAGGTTTGATCTCCAAGATATATAAAGAGTTCACTTGACTCCACTCCAAGAAGACAAACGATCCAATCAAAAAATGGGCAAAGGACCTGGGCAGACACTTTTCCAAGGAGGAGATACAGAGGGCCCAGAGACATTTGAAAGGATGTTCAGCATCACTAGCCATCAGAGAAATGCAGATCAAAACCACCATGAGGTACCACCTCACACCGGTCAGAATGGCCATCATAAACAGATCAACAAACAACAGGTGCTGGAGAGGCTGTGGAGAAAAGGGAACCCTAGTCCACTGTTGGTGGGAATGCAGACTGGTGCAGCCATTATGGAAAGCAGTGTGGAATTTCCTCAGAAAGCTGAAAATGGAACTGCCCTTTGATCCAGCGATTCCCCTGCTGGGACTATACCCTGAGAACACCAAAACGCCAATACAAAAGAACCTATGCACCCCAATGTTCATAGCAGCACAATTTACAATAGCCAAGTGTTGGAAGCAACCTAGATGCCCATCAGTAGATGATTGGATCAAAAATTATGATACATATACACAATGGAGTACTACACAGCAGAAAGAAAAAAAGAACTACTAAACTTCGCGACAGCATGGATGGAACTGGAAAGCATTATGCTAAGCAAAATAAGCCAGGGAGCAAAAGACAAATACCATCTGATCTCACCTATAAGTGGAACCTAACCAACAATACAAAGATACAAGGAAAATAAGACCAGCAACACTGAAAGGAAAAGAAACCAACAGAGACAAGAGGGAAGGCGGGGGGCAGGGAAAAGGAAGGGAAGGGGAAAGTCAAGGAACATACAGCAAGGTCTCATGGACAAAACCAAACGGGAAGGGCTTGGGGAGGAAGGAAGGGAGGGGGCAAGGGAAGGGGGCATAGGCAGAGACAAATGTATTTGAAAAAATAAATTAATTAATTTTTTAAAAAATCACTTCATCAGTAAAGCTTTTCCAAATGTCACTTCTCTCATTCCAAGATTCATTAGATCCTTTTTTGATAGATCTCCATTATTCTTACATTATAGTTTTATACCTAAATTATAGGATTAGTTATTTCTAACTATATATTATGACTGAGATTCATCATAACATGCACGATGTCTCTTTATTTTATTACTATTGACACAGCATTTAGAGCAAGATTTGTCTCATGGTAGACACACAATAAATTTTGGTTGAATTAGTTTTTATAATACTTTACAAAATTTCCTCTCAAACTTCCATTCAGAGTTCCTGTAGGTTCTGGGATAATGCCTGAAACAACCCTAACATATTTGAAATTTGATTTCTCATATTATATTTTAAATTTATTTTTATAAAATATTTATGCTTAATGGAACAGCAACATACACGCATATGTGTGTGCCTTATGTATAATCTTCACTGTGTAAATATGTATGAAAATGCACCATGGATTATCCAGTGGCATGCAAAATTTTCTGCCAATTTGTTTGAGATTGAGGACTGTCTTAATTTCTAGTCTAATTCTCATACTGCTTTTGCATCATACTACTTTTCTATCTTTTTAACTTTATTTTATCATTTACACTATTACAGATGTCCCCATTTTTCCCTCCTTTCCCAGCCCTCACCCCTTACCCCCCACCTTCCCTCAGGCCATCACCACACTGTTATCTGTGTCCATAGGTGACGCACATATGTTCTTTGGCTAATTCTTTCACCTACTTCCTTTTTTTTAAAAAAATCAGGTTTCTTCTATTACAGTTGTCTCAACTTTTCCTCCTTTGCCTTCCTCCACCCATCCCACCCTGCCCCCCTCTCCCACAGTAAATTCCCACTCTGTCGTCCATGTCCATAGGTCATTCATACATGTTCTATGTTTAGTCCCTTCTCCTTTCCACTATTGTTCTCCTTCCCCATCCCTTCTGGTCACTTTCAGTTTGATCAGTGTTTCCATGCCTGTGGTTTATGTTGTTCATTAGTTTATTTTGTTGAATAGATTCCACTTACAAGTGAGAACATATGATATTTGCCTTTCATCAACTGGCTTATTTCACATAGCATAATATTCTCCAGTTCCAACCATGTTGTCACAAAAGGTTCCTTCTTTCTTTTTTTCTTAAATGCAGATTGATTGTATTTATTTGTTTTTTTAAATTTCAAAATCTATTATAAAATACTAAAAAATTTAAATCCATTACAAAGTCTCAGCAATGAAAACAATGTGACACCAGCACAGAAATAATCAAGTAGATCAATGAAATAAAATGAACATTCTAGAAACAAACATATATATATGTCTAACAATATAATATATGAGTAAATTGATATTTCAAATCAATGGGGAAAATAAGGCTTATTCAACAAATACGGTGCATGGACCACTAATACTTGAAATACAACAAATATAGAACCCTATTTCACATACTATACAAAAAATATTGCAGTGAGTTAAAAATCAATATGTAAAATCTAAGGAGTTTTAGAAGAAAATACAAACTAATATTTTTTATCCTGAGGCAACATATTCAAACCCAGAAGCTATAAAGTGAAATGTTGACAATATGACTCTATTAAATATTTAAGACTATATAATAATATACATATAAAAAAAGTTAAGGACAAGTAATAGAAAAGGAAAGTATTTGCAACACATCTATAAAAGGGTTAATAGGTGTTTTGGGGGGTGGAGGGGGAATAATTCTACAAACATTTAATCAAAACATGGATAAAGAATACCAAAAAGTCATTTAAAGCTTTTTAAAAATAATAGAAATAAGCAAGAAATACACAAACACAGGCTTAGTTTCAACAAATAATAAAGTAACAATCAAAACCACATCATTGTCACAATCTGATTAATTAATCTGATTAAAAATATTAGTAATATCAAGTATTGGTGACTGTGAAAGGAACTGGATATTCATAGACTTTTTTTCTTGATCTTCTTAAAGCATATTTTGCAATGCCGGTTTGTTGGAGGTGTATTCTTTTAGCCTTCTTTAGTCTGGGAAACTCCTTATTTCGCCTTCCATTTTCATTGAGAGCCTTGTTGGTAGAGCAGTCTTTTGCTTTTCATGACTTGGAATATTTCTTGCCACTCCCTCCTGGCTAGCAGTGTTTCTCTTCTGAAGTCAGCTGTTAGCCGTACCAGGGCTCCCTTATATGTTACTACCTCTTTCTCCCTTGCTGCCTTTAGGATTCTCTGTTTGTCTTTGATATTTGCCATTTTAATGATGATGTGTTTTGGAGTGGGCCTCACTGGATTTCTCTTGAATGGGACCCTGTGTGCTTCCTGGACATGTGTGACTTTTTCTCTCCTACACTTAGGGAAGTTTTCCATCATTACTTTTTCAAACAGGTTCTCTATCCCTTGCTCCTCTTCGTGTTCTTCAACTCAGAAATTGTATTCTTCATTTCCTCTTGTCTCTTATTGATAGCTTCTATGTCCTTTTTCATGCTGATATAGTTTGTGGTAAGTTCCTGGTAGTTTCCCTGTAGTTTTTGGTACTTCTCTCTGCATTCACTGAGCTCATTGAGCTTCCTTAGAACCATTGTTTTAAACTCATCTGATCAAATGGTTCCTTAGAACCATTGTTTTAAACGATCAATATCTGATCGTTTACTTACCTCTATTTCATTTAGTTTTCTTTCTAGGGATTCCTCTTTTCCCTTCAACTGGAGGGTGTTTCTTTATCTTCCCATTATTTGTTACACTCTTCTCTTTTGCTTCTGCTTCTTAAATTGGTCGGTTTTGATTTCCTGACTTTGTGGTGTGAACTTCTATAGTAGGAGACCGCTGTTTTTTTCTTTCTGGATCTGCCTCTGCTGATGTCCGATGTTGACCCTGTCTGACCTTAGGCTGTCTGTTCAAGACTTCCAGAAATCTACTGTCTGTGGCTGTCTCCCTCAGCTGTTAATCTAGTCACTCTGCACTCAGCAGGCCAGCTTAGACACTACAGAGCAGGGCAGAGTCCCTCTCACACTACTGCTGCTCAGGGGAGTAGTCTGCCTGAGCAAGATGGCTGCTGCTGCAGCGGGGATGAGTCAGCACCAGGGGATGAGTAGCACCACCCACAGACTACTCTCTCAGTTTTCTCCCCAAAGCCTTCTTCCCCAGTCTCTTCTCAAGCGCCTCCAGCCCACTCTGCACCCCCCACCCCGCTGGAGAC